GATTCCCGTCGGAGCTCTTGGCAGGAATACGGTTTCCTATTATTCTTTCACACATGTCACACGTCAGATAAATATTTTGTAGTCTGTGTAAATGTGCAAAAGCTACGCGCTGACTACAAACTTGTTTTGTGAAAAAGATTAATATGTTGTTGCTGTTTTAAAGATATCGGCCGATGAGAAATAAATTCCAGTTATTTTCTAACTTGTGGATAAAAACATGAAAAATATCGAATTTCTGCTATATAGAAAATCATGGATTTTTCAAAAACGGTACAGTAGTTGCTAACTTATGGAACGAAATGCACATTTCCTAATGGTAAATAATTGTGAACGCATTAAGGAAGGATGATAGATTGAATTCATAGATGAGACAGTGTTAATGTTATCATTTAGCGGACTATAACAATACAGTGACCGTATAACATTTGTTAGTACTAATGTCTGTCACTTTCACAGCCATAAAACAAAGTGTGCTGATGTACTCTTTAACATGTCCGACTATGAACTTTACTTTAAGTTTATATATCTTTTGTGTGTTACATTTAAAAACTCGAATCTTACTAAAGTAATAGTAATTGACTGTTGATGGCATCATCTGTTGTTGTTGTTGTCGTTGTTTTTGTTGTTGTTGTTGTCGTCGTTGTTGTTGTTGTTGTTGTTGTTCGGACATCATAGATGTAATAACATACACCAAATAAATAAAGGTAACTTATGAAAATTGTCTTAATCAACTAGATGTTATCATTTTAATTTTCAGTCACAATAATTAATTCTTAAAGTTTTTATAATCGTCGTAAAGCCATCGGTTCGATCAAAATAAGTGATCAAATTATCTAGATGACTGGAATAAGTTTTACGGTGTTACCAATATCTTTTTTGTCACGTCTTGACATTCAAACAACACTTTACCGCTACATACTGTGTCAAGTGTTCGGTCAAAAAATTGGTTATTAAATGTTACTCACGGTGAAAAAGTAAAAGTTTGTGTTTGAGCAGAAAGGTGTTGAGTAATACTAAGATTGTGAGTTACTCTAAACTTTGTGTTAATTGGATACAATACAAGGTAAAGATATTATGATATTTTGGAAAAATATTTTACTTGTACCACTATTCTAAAAACCAATCAAAACAGGAAATCGAAATGAAAATGAGATGATAAGAAAATATAAGATTTCTTCATCAAGTGGCTGAACACGGCAGGCTTTGAGACATATTCGGAACACCTTTTCCCTTCTACACTACTTACTGGTCAGTTTATCGGGCGATGTAGGTTTCACGATAAATAATAAAGCTGTATGATACAGGTATAAAGTAGTTATATGATACAGGTATGATGTAGATATGATAACAGGTATATAATGACATACCTGGACGGGCGGTGTCTTTGTAGTGCCCAATATACCACAGAGGCGGTAATAAAATGGTGATCATTGTCGGATAACGCCATTTCGGCCAATAAAATGCTGACCCACGGGTATTGTGGGCGAGGACAGTATATCTGACCACCCAGGTCATTCACTCTTACTTTCCGTTCTCAAGTAATCTGACACATGTATCTCATGTCCGGAATTTAATGTCTCCTTTTCTTTAGAACTAATTTTACATACGACTCTAACACCGATGCTATCTGTCGAACACAGTTTATCTAGTTAAATGATAATCTTCTCATCGCTTTAATCAAAGAATGGAGAAAGCTACAGGGAAACCATTAATAACAGATTATATTGTTAGGATAAAAAGTTTATTTTTTTTATGAGTTAATAAAAGCTTTCAAAGAAATGTGGGCACGCTACCGACTTTGTGTACAGATCTAGTAAAGTGGATGTCATCATTTCCAAACTGTCGTGAACTTTGAATTTCAATTGCAAATTTGAATTATTCAAAGAATGTGAGCGATTTTTAAAATGATTTTTTTAACTATGATTTATAGCACATATTCACATTTTGAAATATTTCTTAAAAAAAAAATGGGGAAATTGTGAAATTGTGAGATTTGATTCAGGAAAAAAGTGGTCTTTAACGGCTGAACAACCAAAGAAAGATATTTTTCATAGCCTATCTGTCCGTCATTTTGACTTGAAATTGATCATTCTTTGGTGACATTGGGTTAAGGTGAAAACTGTCACAACAAATTATCGTATTTGTGGTGTTGATTTACTTCTTGATGGACTTTATTTACTTTTGACCAAGGAAGTGACACGATAATTAAGTAAATATCGGATAGTAGTTCAACAGATGAGAGTCACAAACACCTTATTGAGTTCCGATCATCCATACCTGGTCCTGGCCCGAGGGTAGGGCCTAAGACAAATCCTCAGACTTAACGTCATGGTAGCAATATATACCTGTTCTGTGAAACATGCAGTAAGTTACCCTGACACACACTTATCGCGCAATCGACACACCTGTTTGTTTACCTGTAATTGTTTACGTATTTACCCGTGGTTGTTTACCTTTGATTGTTTACATGGATCATGGATAGGTGATTGGTCAACAAAAAGCAAGTTAATCGTCACATTTAGCGCGTGTCAACATAATAACTTTGACCAATATTGACCGTGGCTTCCGAATCCCAGTACAATTCCCGGAATCCCTGTCACTACTGTAGAAAAAATTGCCGAAGATTATCAAAATATTTATCAATTAGTTCCACTATGTATAGTGTCTATCTAAATCCTTGGTGTTGTAGAATCACATACACCAAACACATTGTTAATCATATCATTTTATTTTATAGATATTCAGTCAAAATATTTCTTATTTTATAAACTCAAACTGTACAAAGAAACATGCGCGTGATATCAAATAAAGCTCGAACTTGGTATATATAACATATGCATTTTTTATTGAATAAACATGAATTGTGTTTGGTATTTATAGTTCAAATTCAACCAGCAATGAATAAATGACACAACCCACATTGGCAATACTCTTTGTGTTGAATGGGAAATATCTTTCATTTTTTAAAAGTCAGATAACAGGATAAACATTGTAAAATAATGCAGTTAATGTTACAGAATGTTCTACCGGGAGGAGAGTCCATAAATATCGCGGATTTTTGCATTTGCAGGTTTTATGACAATATTACATTCAAAAAAGAAATATATAGCAATAAACATTATGTTTGTTTATAATTTTATTTTCAGCAATATAGTTTTTATTATCGATAGATATTGTGAATGTTTATCTGGGGTACACAGAGCCTTTTCAAATTATTTATGATGAATACATATACGTGTATAATGTATGATCAAATAATTTCGATGGTTGTCAAGAAAACTTGTGTTCAAATTATTTACAATTTCCAAGTGATAATGAAAATATTTATAGGAAATAGTGAAAAGTATAAAGAAAACGCAAGGCGAAATTAATAAGACGAATTAAAAAGAAAAAGTTTTTAGTCTTGAAATTTTAGTCAAGAAATATAAAATAAAATCAGAGCATTTCAATCCTACGATAGGCATATGCATGCGAATATATATTTTGTTTTAGGCAATATGATAAATGCAACGCAGTGATAAGATTTTAGCCTTTTTAGTAAATAAATAAATAAATAAATAAAAAATTAATTAATTAATAAATCAATATTGACATAGGTGTAGGCTATTTAGAGAATTTTCTATGTTAAAAAAAATCACAGTTTAAAAGATATTTCAGCTGCCATTTATAAGCAAAAACATGTCAAAAATATTCTTCACTGCACATACATTTATATTTGCGATAACTTCTATGTAATCGCTGTGATAAAAAAATGAGAATAATGGTATCCATCTAACTATAGTCGAAAATCCAGGATATCAGTTTTACGGAAAAGTCAAAGTTTAAAAAGTTAAAGATAAATAAATAAATAAATAAATAAGTGATATATGTTAGGACCGTATGTTAAGTCAATATTAACCATATCATATCTTACTCTTCATGATGTCCATGAAAATATTCTGTCGGAATAATACCATTATTATGATTACCTTTTTGAAATTAAAGTACTTTTACAGTGTAAAGATGAATTAAACAGAAGCACTTTAAAACTTGAGTTCACAATGAATTATTCAATAGATATAAATCTCTATCATACCCAATTAAAACATTAACGTTCTTATTGAATTTTTTGTTTCCAAAATGAACGTACCGCCTGTTATAACACCTCCAGTATGTGTACATTTTAGGAGACAAAATTACGTTTGGATATTTCTTAACGTCAGCAATGACAAAAGCGCGGTTAAACATTATCTCTTAAGATATTGTGGATATTCATGGCTTCTTAAAGATCTCTGTATCACGAAGAGAAATCAAACACCATTTACTAAATTTGATCTAATATCAATATTTTTTAAAACTTAGGCAAACTTTGCATACATTCACCTCCAAGATATAATTCATATCAATGAATTGTGTAGTTTTAACGTTAAAGCGGCGTGCCTACTTTGTCTGACTTAGCATACTGACACAGCTCGCCTTCCGCTATTCCGCTTACATGATTTGTCGGATAAAATAGAATGCATCAATATTGGACATATACACTAAAAATATGAATAATTGAAATATGGGCGGAGCTAAGCACAATTCATGTGATTGGCGATTGGTTAGCGCTCACGGGTGGCTGCCTCTATAGACGGGACACAGAGTGAATTCATTGGACCTTCCTGAAATCGCTATAGGGTATGTCTGCTGAATCGCCTATTACGGGGATCTGTAGATTACGTTCTGTGAGTGTAGTCGTTAACATTATACAATTAAACAGATACATACACAAGCGAAGGAAACCTGACCGTCCAAGCCTCTCCTTCTAATCCTCTCTCTCAAGTACGTGACGTGTTACTTTACATGCCTTTCCCTAGCTGGACTGGACTTATTCTGAACTGATTGGAAAACTCTGGAATATAACTGTTTGTTACAGCTTTCTTTGCCAAGCGGTGGACAGGTGTTCTCAGACACGAGGACGTTAGACCACGAAGACACGTTTCTTTAAGACATTGTGGTGAGGTTCAGGACACAGCGCCATGCAGCACTTTCCCTATCATTACACCCCGGAACACCTGGCCTGCTTAAGGAACTACCAAATAGGACTTCTGGCTGCTTCCACCCAGACCAATTCCTCCTTGTTCACAATCGAGAACATCTTGTCTCCACGAACTCCTCAGCCTCAGCAGCCGCCCCAACAGCCAGCCCGCCGGTTCGCTCCTCACACCTTCCCTAACCTCTCGCCTCTCCATAGGGACTACCTCGGTAAGATTTCCTACTTATCTATGTACAGATCACACGCAAACAAGTTTTTTAGTGCAAAATAACCAGTCAAAAGATTAGCGGTTAAAATCTACGGATTCTAGGCAACCGCAAATGACTATTAATTGTTTTATAGTTTCCACAGAAATCTGTTCAAGAGAACTGAGATTCTGTGGCCCATCAAGCTTCGTTCATTCTGTAAACACGTTTAAAATTGAAGTTGCATGTCTATTTAGAAGAGGTTTCATAAATAATTCAGCTTCGCAACGATTTTAAAAGTATTTCATATTTGTTTGTTTTTTTTATTTATTTGACGTATATATTTTATTGTGTTATACACGTGTATAGTTCAGTATTAAGATATTTTCCAAATAATAACGTAAAAAGTGATTTATGTCCACGCTTATCGCTTAAATAAGCTCAACAAAATTTTGAAGATATTTGATAATAATCTCACTTTTACTGTATGGCAGGTGTTGATATTTTGTATATTTGCATCGTTCTGGTATAGTGGAGATCAAGGTTGATTAAAAGTTGATATTTAATGTAACTTATATTTGTTAATTAAGACCAATCTTAATTAACTTATGTTAGATATATTGTGAAGGTACTAACTGCTATCGTGTATATTTGTCTTTGCAGTGAGGTATCACTATCCTTTTCACGGTATCTTTAACTCCCTGGATATCGAGAAATTGGGACAGAAGCGAAAGCGGCGGCACCGAACAATCTTTACAGAGGAACAACTAGAGATGTTGGAGGGCACTTTCCAGAAAACTCACTATCCAGACGTTCTTCTTCGGGAGGAGCTAGCCATGAAGGTGGATCTAAAGGAGGAGAGAGTCGAGGTGAGCCCGGGGGTCGTGTAAAATCTAGGGTGTAAGCAGAGTGTGAGGGAGGCAGGGCGCTAGGAATTACTATCTCTTTTCGGTGAATGTCTAAAGTGAGGAATAGACATAGTCCTTTTACATCTGAGGTTGAGATGCCATACAGTTTTTTTTCCAAATGATATTTCCATAGATTAATATCAACAATGACTATTGTAATAGTTTGAATTATTTCAATCAAAAAGACTGGATAATTAACAACTATTACGAAGACTTTGTTGCCTGTTTATAAAAGCTGATTCCTTCTGAGGTGTACTCAGTTGTTTATTAAATATATATGTTTTTAAAGTTACATAAATACCAAAACCAAGGTGTATGCACGAAACATTTTAATGTTAAATCAAGGTTTTAACATATTTCCATGTTAGATTTCTGGTAAACACTGGTAAATGCAAATATAATATTGATAATTAGTTGTCTGTCATATTTACAGAAAAAAAATTGTATATAATAATCCATTAAAAATATGTCACTGCAATTAAAACGGCAAAAAGCTTAATTTGAATCATGAAAGAATAATTATTTCTTGATTTTTCATAAACGCTTATTTCTCGGGCTTACAAATGATTTTCTGGTTTATCCATTGACAATTTTGTGAGTGTATGTGTGTGTGAAACGTTACCGAATCATTTTGCAGGTTATGTACAGCTACATCTACATAACATCAAAAAGAAATTGTACATTCTCATGACTACTCTATGTGGAAAAGAGTTTAAAATGTATCTTTTATTTGAAAGAGTTATGAAAGTTCATTTCCATATACATAAATATAACTGTTAAAAAAACCTACCGTCCCATCACTAAATATCATCTCCTTAATAGGTTGTAAATAACGAAATTCTTCAAACGTTTTAAAATCATAAATAAAATGTTTTCTATGGTAATAAATGCAAATTCGTTTTGCAGATGTGTAAATAAGCTAATTAATTGTCATTTTGTGTTGAAAGCGTAGGAATTTTTTTTTCAAATCCCAGATATATGTGTTTTCTGAACGAAATCCCATTTTGATATTTGAAATGTGTAGATATTTATGCTTAAGAAAACGTTTGATATCTTTCTAGAAATGTTTTAAACGCCACTATAGAAGCGGTAGGCTTTATGCAGTGTAAGTTGTTTGTAGTTCACGGTGTCGTCGGTTTCCCTCCAACGACAAACTAGCTGTCATGGAGTACTGAGGCATCAACTCCATCAAATATAAATTTATGTACTTATCAAAATGAATCTAAACTGTGCAAATATTTCGCGCTAACATAAGGGATTTGTGAGGGGCTATTAGCGCCGTGACTGTACACAGTGGTCGAGAAGAGGGCCATTTGTGTATCTCTGTATACGTTTAGAATTACTGATACTATCGCTAACCTGTTTCCACGATATATTTTCATATTTACCGTGTAGAATAGCGATTCTATGAAGCATTAAAAGACTAATAAACACCGTGAAGATTCTAGCGATATAATGATTGTAAGGATTTAAAAATCACGCAAGGATGATTTTAGTTTCAACAGTGAAATTTTAAAAGCCTTTAAATTTTTAAATTATGATATGTTTTACGATCAAACAGTTGGTATGTACACCAAATAGCTTTGAAATTTGATGCTTTTGCCACACAATAAGTATGTATGTGTCACTCCGTGTAAGTTAGGACCTAAGTCATATACACATTTCCCATCCCGTCAGAGTACTGGAAACAACACCCGGACGTTACTAACGAAATGAAATACGTAGCATATCTGATGAGCCCTATCTGATCATTTTATCACGTATTACTCATAGCAAATCACCTATTACGTACCTGATAAGTTCATTCAGGTAAACATTTTACCCGTGAATTAGTGCCAAATAAATCTAAACATTGGTTAAGTCTTCTATTGTAAAATTAGTATCTATATTAATTTCTTTACTCAAGCGGACATCAATATACGATTAAAACACGTTTTGTATAATTTGAGATTTGCTTGTCTGAAACACACTTAATGGGATGAGATTGATAAACAGATTTCTTCCCTCTGCGATTTTAAAATTAAATACATATTCGAATATGTTTTTCATTAAGACATCGTTACAAAGAATCACTCTACTTTTTCTAATGTTTTGAAATGAAAACGTATGAATTATCGTAGTCATTTGTCTTTGTTAAGATAACGACTCTCCTTGTTCCAATATTGATATTTTTGGTTTCTTTTTTTCCGAAAAAAATAATAGACACAACAATTTATATCTCAGTAACGTTGATGCCAATTTCTTAGAAATGCAATCTAACGATTTAATCAATCAATGTGATATCTTATTTTTTTAAAAACACAATCAAGCAAATGATTCGCCTAAGAATGGGAGATTCTGTATTTCCTTCTCATATAAAAACTGAGATTACTAACATACATCACATAGCCCTGTTGGTTCAAGTGTTAAATCAAACTCTACCAAAAGATCTCAAAATGTCAATAAACATATACCCATCTTGAAAACAACACCACCACCATCAACAACATCATCATCATCATCATCATCATCATCATCATCATCATCATCATCATCATCATCATCATCATCAACAACAACAACAACAACAACAACAACATCAGCATCATCATCATCATCATCATCATCATCATCATCATCATCATCATCATCATAAACAACAACAACAACAACAACAACAACAACAACAACAACAACAACAACAACAACAACAACAACAACAACAACAACAACAACAACAACAACTAAAACAACAACAACAACAACAACAACAACAACAACATTATCATCATCATAATCATCATCATCATCATCATCATCATCATCATTATCATCATCATCATCAACAACAACAACAGCAATAACAACAACAATATATTTTCTGTATGTGAAGAAAAAGAGAAATTAGCAATTGTAGATCCTCACTTGATTATGTGTATCTAAATAAAAGAAATCCCGGGTGAGTTAGCTACATATAAACAAAGGGAAAGCACACTGATACTAATTGTCATACCTAGGCATGCAATAGATCTCCATCTGGTATCTAAATATATAGATAAGAAACAGAAGTTTGGATGGTGAATCAGACGTTCATAAGGATGTGTCTCCATAAAAGCTTCCTTTTAATATCAGAATTCATGAAACGAGGATGGGACTTGTTTAAACTAAATTGTGACAAGTTTTATAAATTTCGTATGGAATGGTTACGCATGTTTAAGGCCCTTCTTATCATGCGATCATCATTGTTTCAAAATATAGAATAAAATTTTACCTTATTTTTTTTGTGATCCTTTACTTCTTTGCTCTATATTTACTTTTTCCATGGTAACGCCCTAATGTAACATACGCTTATTTCATGTCATATAATTGTCATTATATGACGTCATGATAAGCCATGCTTAAAAAATGCGAAAAAATGGCACAAATTTCCTGTTACTTACATGACAATAATGTTAAAAATAGGAAAATAATTATTATATGTTCCTTATTATAAATGAAATTTAAAAATTTGTTCACCAAGATATACAAAATAATGACACATGTTTTTGCATACTTTGTACAATATGTAACACCCACTTACCCGATATGTACATCAATGTTATTGGTACTGTAAGGAGCATATCAATCTAGGCCTTTATACCTTAATACACCAATATATCATAGGTATATCAAGAAAGGGAATTTGTGGACCAAAATATACTTTAAATATTATTACAGTATGTTATGCCAATATATCTGACATGAAATGAATCGGTGGTCATTGAATTATATACATACACACCTATTCACTATTTGGTGTAAATATGTTGATATAAGCCTGTATTGCACCAGCTGTTTCTGTAAGCTATCTGAAGGTATATTTATCTAATATTAAATGTTCATATATAGAAGAAGCTATATCTTTATACTTGATTTGTGATAAACAGATATGTATTAGTGAGAAGATAGTGAGAATAGCCAGCTCAAGTTGGGTCTATCGAACACTATCATTACTGTTAGTATAAATGAGACAATACAACTCACATTTCTCCACTGGTACAAAGAATAATAACATAGTTTAAAAATTCTGTATGATAATATATTTTTTTGAATTTTATATTCAAGAGAAAATAAATATTTTAAAACATATATTGATATTTCCTAAACAAAAATTTATATTTTGTTGTACACTATTCATAAATATTTTTGTAATTTGAAATAGAATATACAAGAATATATTTATTTATTTTTATTTTGGATTTTAATATGACTCATTGATTTTAATGTTTTGTTTGATTTTCATGAACACAGATTATCATTTTTATTTTTAAAGTAAGAAACAATACAATTATTGCTCATTTCTAACCTTTTGGAAAAAATCCTATGTTTATTGATATCTACGTCCTTCAGTTTGGATTACTGAAACAAACTGGAAACTTTCTCCTTGTACACATTCCTCACACATCACCATTACTATATAAGTAAGGGCTCGATAATCTACTCGTATGAATCCAACCGACTGCGTTTAAAATGAATGCACACTGTTATATTTCTTTTTTTTCATGAACGTAGATGATAAATATATGTGTATCGAAAAATGATAATGCACAGAAGTAGATGTTAATTGCCTGTAAATGTAATTTTCAAAACCTTTATCATGATAGGTTTACTAGCATGTTTATAGTCTATTCAAAATCATACAATCTATTTTTTTTCTGGAATTGATGGACGACGATAAATATGATAAAGAATTCCCGCATTTGATGAAAATTTTGCTTTTCCAGAATATGAACAAAAACCGTATTTCAAATAATTTTCACATCCGCCACAAATATCCCACTCCTTAAAGCACAGTGTGTGGTAATACAAATCACATGTTGGTTGTTGTGTAGAGTGATAGTGCTTTTATGTAATAATAGATGTAAATAACAATTATTTTTAGAATATATTTCGTGTGATTGCGACTAACAGTGTTTATATCAACAACTTAAACTACAAATATT